AGAGGCGTGGAGGGGCGAGAAAAGAAGAAACGTGGAAATAAGGAAGAGGAGTACTGATTTGGCTCTCGTTTTCCTTCCGACAAATTTTTCTTTGCAATTTCAGGCAACCACGCCAAGACAAATCACCTTCTATAGTATACTCTCACAACGATAACAGACATTTTTTTTACTTTTGATGAAAATGGCCTATGGCCGATTAGGCCCTTTTCAGAATTACCTCAATCATCCTAACTTGCTGGTGGGTAACAGAATCGTCATCGAACTTAAAAAGCACTACAATGCAATACTTATACATGTGAATATGTAGTATCTAAGGTCATGTATACGGTCATGAGTACGCTCTGCCGACACGAACACCCTCTCGCGAGATCGACGACCGTTTTGCGGAAAACCCTTGCTTTCTACGTTATGAACCAGTGCCCCACAGCTTAGAATAATGTTGTGACTTTGCATCATGGTAAGTTCCACATATTTGCCGATTCAGTCTTGTTAAGGTTATACAGGTAGTAGGAGTTGAGGGAGAGCTCTTCGGCCTTGCGTCCCCCGCTTCCCCGCTCTAGCGCGCCCTTCCTCCGCCGGCGGCCACTCCGGCCCCGGCGTCCACCCCCTTCCCCTACGCTGGCGGCCACTCCGGCCCCGGCGTCCACTCTTTAGCTTGCGGCCGCTCGGGCCCTGGTGCTCTCCCCCTGTTTCCTGCTCTCGTTCGCTTCCGCCATGGCAGATGGATCTGCGAGCCCGGCATTTGTCTCCTCCAAGCTCCAGCCTATTGTCTCCGGCCTGGGGTTGTCCGGTTCGTCGGGATCCGAGGGCCTATCCACTGGTGCGGGAGGTGCGCCGGTTGACCAGGGGTGGCCGCGGGATCTGCTTTGCAGTGGCGCAAGCCGGGGCCGTCGCGCAAGGCGTTGTGGCGCAAAAGGAGAGCGCTTCGGCAGCAGGCGGCGATGGGCGGCGCGAGGTCGCGCTCCTCCCGTTCGCCGGTGTCGTCGCCGGAGAGAAGGGAGATTCCGGCGGACCTTTTTGGTCTCTGTTTCAGTTGTTTCCGTGAAGGGCATTGTCGTGAAGATTGCTGGTTTCCCCCGTTGTGCATCAGATGTGGTTTGGAAGGCCACATCTCGACGGCGTGCAAGCGGCCTCGGAGTCCCAGGTCTGAGGAGGATCTCCGGCGTGAGGCAGTGGCCAAGGTAGCGCGGGCTTCGTAGCCGTCGACGTAGGCCGGACCAGCGAGCAGGCTGGCACCGGTGGCTAGGCAGATCGCTCCTTTGGAGGGGTCCTCGCCAGTCCCGGTTGTCACCGCACCTATGGGGTCTGGGCAGGCGTCGGTTGCAGCCGCGGCTGCTGCTGGCAGTGTCTGCGTTCTTCGTCGTACGCCGGAGATGGAGGATCTTGAGCAGCGCATGAGGCTGGCGGTGGTGGCCTATGTGGGCGGCACCAGGCCAGCGGTTTCTTGCCAGGAGGCTGCTGAGGCTTTGTCGGTGGAGCTGCGCATCCCGCGCCACCGTTTTTCGGTCCACAAGTTCCATCCCGAGGATTTTCTGGTGGTGTTCGCGGCGCCGGAGTTGCGCAACAAGGCGCTGGCTGTGGGTACAGTTGAGCATGGATTCTTTAAGCTCTTTGTCAAGCCATGGCTCAAGCAAGCGCAAGCTGTTTCGAGGGTGATGCGGACGCAAGTTGATCTCATGATTGAAGGAATCCCTTCCCACGCTTGGACATCCGAGACGGCGGCGGAGCTTCTGGGCTCGTCGTGTCTGGTGGAGAGCTTGGCGCCGGAGACAGAGAACAGGGAGGATTTGTCCTTGTTCAAGTTGTGGGCCTGGTGTGTGGATCAGGACGAGGTGCCTGCAGACAGGCGGCTTTGGGTTCCGGAGCCGGTGATGGTTGGAGGACCGGTGGCGAGGTCGCCCACGTCTCGGGCACTGCTGGAGTACAAGACCCTGATTCACATTGATAGGGTTCGCGATCACGATGGCCCGGAGCGCTGGTTGAGACCGCCTAGCTCAGATGGTAGCGGCCAGAGCGGGATGCCTGAGGACTCTGGTGACTTCTCTGGCAGGGGAAAGTGGCGTGTGCTGCCGTGGTCGAGAGGAGTTCGTGATAGACGCGGAGGTGCGCCGGGCAACGGGGCGCCTGGTGGTTCCTATATGCGTGCCTTGATGGGGCGTATTGGACCGTCGGACTGGAGAATTCCGCCCATGGCTCAGTGCTCAGTGGCGAAGATTCACGCGTCGGTGGTCACCGTGGTCACCACGGTGGCAACTGGGGTTGGAGGGGGCAGGCTGCTGGCTGCCGAGGCCGCGTTGGTGGAGCCTGTGGCGCATGTGGCCGCAGATGATCCAGGAAGGGAGGTTAGGGCCACAGAAAATCCGGCCGCTGAGGTGATGGACAGGACCGCGCGGGCGGCTTTTGACCATGGTGGGGCCACAGAGCTTGGGCCAGCCAACCCTGAGCCACAGCAGTTGGTCCAGTCCGAGGCGGATCCCGAGGTGCAGTTGTTGTGGATAAAGTTGTGGAGGAGGCGTGTATGCCACAGGCTGGCGGCATGGGTCCAGAGGATCCCGAGGCTGCAGCGGCCTCGAGGGGGATCGAGAGATTGTTTTCGGCCAATCAGGACGTGTCAGTAGGACAGGAGGCGGGCCGGCCGTCTGGGGCTGCGCCAACCCAGGATGGCACAAGGAGCGAGGATGTGGACTCGTAGCTGTCGTTAGTGGTGCCCGACAATATAGCAGATGGATGGGCCCCGGTCATGGATATGTTGCAGGCTTCGATGGCAACAGGAGAGGTGGAGAGGCATGCTGATTCGCCGGGGGTGGGCCCCGTGCTACAGGAGTTGCTGCCCTCTGCTGCATGCACTGATGTGACTACGTATGTTGCATGCGGGGAGGGGATTTTGAGTGTTTCAGCTAATGCTACGGCTGCTCGCGCGGATGGTTCGCTGCAGCGCCAGGATGGAAATCTCTCGGCCAAGGAGATCACCGCGCTAGGTAACATCAAAACATTCTGCGCCGGGTTGTTGAAGAAACTTGCGCCGCCTCTCCATAAGGAGTTTGAAGGACTTAGAGAAGTACGGACTGGACAAGACCCTTTCACACCTCGACGCACGACTTGGTTTGTCTGTTCCGGTGGTTCCAGGAAGACAAAGGCATCTGCTGCTGAAACAGTTCTGCTAAAGACTTTAGGCTTTGACAGTGAGGATCTGGCCGTTTCTGAGGACGCGCTAGGTCAGCTTCGTACGGTGTTCGATTCACCACTCCAGGAGCCACAACTGAGGGCCATCGCGGCCATCTTTGGGAAGGCTATACCACTCAATCTAGCAGGGGAGGCAGGGATGGATGTGCCTGCTATGGCGCAGTAGGTGCGAGGGTTGTGATGGTGTTGGAGTCATCCTAGTCCGATGTCTATCAATGCCTTGGAGTTGATGTGTTGGAATGTCAGAGACCTTAACAACCCGGCCAAGAGGAAGGCACTTAGAGGATTTGTAGACTCGGTGCATGCGGCGATTGTATGTATTTTAGAAACTAAGCTAGAGGCTGTGAACATTTTTGTAATCTTGCAATGTATGGGACCAAACTATGATGGTTTTACCTATTTACCGGCATCAGAGATGAGAGGTGGTATTTTTGTGGCATGGGACACCTCTCGGGTGATGGTGACAAACTTTGTCAATGATTCTCATTGCATCACAGGGTTTATCTCGCCTAAGGAGGGGACACCTTGGTGGCTAACCGTAGTGCATGGGCCACAGGAGGATGAGCATAAGATTAATTTCTTGAATGATCTTTCAGAGAGAAGATCGCTATGTCCGGGCCCATGGCTCGTGATTGGAGACTTCAATCTTATCCTATACACGGCCGATAAAAATAACTCAAATTTAGACCGGAGAATGATGGGGAAGTTCAAGCGTTTTGTGGATAATAATGTGCTCAAGGAGCTCTTTTTGCATGGGCGTAAGTTCACGTGGAGTAATGAAAGGGAGACGCCCACGCTTACCAAGATTGGTAGAGCGTTCGTTTCAGTGGATTGGGAGATTGATCACCCGGATTGTTTGTTGCAAGCTTTGTCCACCGAGCGCTCTGATCACTGCCCCTTGCATCTCACTCTCCATGAACCTATGCATTATAAAAGGAGGTTCCGTTTCAAGAAGTTTTGGGTTAAAATGGAGGGATTCTTGGATATCGTAAAGGAGGCGTGGGCATGTGATCCTGGCATCACGGATCCTTTCTTGCGGCTTGATATTATGCTACGCAACACGGCTAGAGCTCTTGCCGCTTGGGGGCAAAGAGAGATTGGAAATATCAAGTTGCAGATTGCCATAGCGAATATTGTTATCTTGCGGTTCGACTGCGCCATGGAAAATCGTAGGCTTACGGAGGAGGAAAGATGGCTCAGAAGAATGCTGAAGCAACTGGTGCTAGGGCTGGCATCCCTAGAGAGAACCATTGCTAGACAAAGGTCCAGAATATCTTGGCTTCAAGAAGGGGATACTAACACGCAATTGTTTCATTTGGTGGCTAATGGGAGGCGTATGAAGAACTACATACCTTCTTTGAGCATGGAAGGGCGTACTATCACTGATCAGAAAGGCAAGGAGGAAGCCTTCTATAATGCTTACAAGGATTTGTTGGGCAAGGACGTTGCTAGAGAGTTCACGCTAGATTTGGAGGGTCTTGGAGTCGCTCACGTGGATCTCTCGGAGCAAGACCGGGTGTTTACAAAGGAGGAGGTGTGGGTAGTCATTAAGGATCTTCCCTCCGACAAAGCTCCAGGTCTGGACGGGTTCATTGGCTTGTTCTTTCAAAAATC